AAGGTATTATAAGACAGCAAAAAAGCAAGGTACAGAAGAGTATAATACCGTTTGATTCTATTAATGTAAACTTTTTAAAAAGTATATATTTGCTGGCAAATAATTTTTTTCCTGAAAGAATATCTAAGCCACTTTAAGCTGGTTACCATTGGAGGGAGGCATTAGGCGCAAGAAGAAAGGGGCAGGTTTTCATTTCATGCCTTTCAGTATCATCTGATTTTTTTTTTTTTTTTGCCATGTTCATAGATTATCTTCTTTCCTTTTTAAAGAATACTTGATTAGTAGGTTGAGACAGTCCTAGGTGGATTTAAATATAGCCAAACCCTGGTTCCGGACCATTATTCACAGAAAAAAATGTGCTCCTGACAACCCTTTCATGCTGATACATCAGCATGACAAAAAGCGTCTCTCAGGCTACAAACCAAGGAGAGAATGGGCCAGTAAAGTCAGCTTACAGCTAAGCCTTGCCTTGCTAACATCTCAGTTAATTGTGCTGTGAATATTTTAGGGGTTTGTTTTTATTTTGCTTTTGTTGCTGGTGAAATGGACGATTAGCACAATTTTAAAACATAAAGAGGTCATCAGGAGTGCTGATGTTGCTAAGGGTGCGAAAGAAACAATGATCACAGGCAATTGAAGAGGTAGAAAAACTGTTGTTGATTTGGATAAACGAAAAGCAGTTGGCCTGTGACAGGGTTTTGGAGGCCGCCATATGTGAAAAAGCCAAGATGCCCAATGCTGACTTCCTAAAAGACACCCCTGGACCGAGTGCTGACAGTGATTTGTTTAAGGCTACTGGGGGGGGGGGTCCATAAATTTAAGAAAAGAAGTGTTTGTTTATAGATTAAACAGTACATTAGAGATGTACTGCATATAAGAAAGGTTAAAACAGGGAATCATTTGGGGGCCTGGAACGAATTAATTCAATTTACGTTATTTCTAATGGGAAAAAATGATTCAGTTTTCAAACAAATAGCTTCTTGAACAGCCTTCCAGAATGAATTAAGTTCAAGGACCGAGGTTCCACTGTACTGGTAGTGCTATTTTTAAAAATACTTGCAGATAAGTGCCAAGTTTTGCAAACCAGAACTTCCTTTTGGATTTTCATCAAACTTTAGATTTGCCCCCTACTGCTTTAATCATGATTTCCTGTTAAGTATAAAGTGACATTTTGTAAAGGCAGTTTGGCTATATAACAAATTTAAGATGAAATCTTTAGACACTGCTACCCAAGGACCAAAATTCTTATATCCCAAAGGTTGTTTGACAATTTACAAATGTAAATGAGATTACACATTCTATTTTTGATTCCAAAAAGCCATAAAATTGCAGTAAGACTACGTATACAATCAAAAGTAAAGTATCTATTGAATTTAGTAAAAAAGCACCACACTGGAAAAATTAGTCATAAAATTAGCTCTTAATTTTTTCTGGGGACAGAGAAGCAGAAGAAAATGAGATAAAAAGTAAAAAACCACTACCCAAAACAGGGTGAAGGCAAGACAATCATTTATTTATTAGACAGGGCAGGCCATTAAAAGAGGAAACATATTCAAAAGAATGTGCTTTGCTTGGTGTTACAGGCATTGATGCTCACAACAAACAACACTACTCAATACATCATGGAAACAGGCCACATACAACCAAGAAGATGCTGCCATGCCACTGAAAAAGAAGCTACAGTGCTTAGGAAATGATCACTAGGGAGTTACAAAGCATCATAGTCTCCATTTCGCTGATCTACATTTTCTGCAGCTGAGCCATTAGCCCATAGCATTTGGCTGGTTCCCCGGTTATTAAGAAGTGAGTCTTCCCTTATTCTATAGAGTTTTCGATAGTTCCAACTTCTGAATGGTACTGAAATATAGTCACCTGCAGGCTGAACAAGCTCACATTACCACATTTTTGGGACTTATCCCTATGTAGTCATGGACTGTTTCACAGTATTATAGATAAAATTTGGACCTAACACATTTAGCATTGTAATGATGCACCTTCAGTCCTATGGTACATACTTGAAAAAGATAGCAGACATTCACTGGAGGAAATTAAAGAAATTTGGGGAGTTCATCAGGCCCAAGGCATGTAAAGAAGCTGTTAGCCAAGTGAGACACACTTGAAAACTACTATGTCAATTTGCCAAATTATTTGGCATCATTTTTAGCAGGACTTTCCTGACTGAGCAGGCAAAGACTTCAATATCCACTCTAGAGACTAATCAAAATATTATTAGTATATCATGAATATTTGGTTATGAGGAAAAACTATTCAGCATAAGATTGACTGAGAAAGCTGTTAGGTATCTGACCCTCTGTCCTTACATCTACTGATTTCACCAACCACTTCCTTTCACAGGAGTCACAGTTCTCAGGATGAGATATTTTCACTCCACATAAGACAAAACCCTACTGGGGAAGCCAGTCATGAAAGACCAGATATTATATGAATTCATTTATATTAAATGACCAGAATAGGCAAATCATAGGGATTGAAAGTAGATTAGTGGTTGCTTGGGGCTGGGAGGCATTGGAAGAAAATGAGATATGAATGCTAAAAGGTACAGGGTTTCTTTTGGGGTGATGACAATGTTCTCAAATTGGCTGTGGTCATGGTTGCACAACTTGTGACTATATTCTAAAACCGCTGAATTGTACCGTTTAAATGGGTGAATTGTAAGGTATGTGAATTATATCTTAATAAAGTTGCTAAAGAAACATATTAGGAAAGGAAGACAGCCCCAGGGGGGAAGAAAATGAGGCTCTTGCGAATCCAGTCATATCTGAGGAAACAGTACTCAAGCCTGAGGTAAGGAGCTGGTTTCTCACACATTATTTTGATTTTATTACCACCACTTTTAACTCCTGACCACATTTTTAACTCATTTCTAAATTATTTTAGGTTATCAGAAGCTTTCTAACTTTGTTCTCCTTACAGAACCAAGTCAGTGTTCCACAGAAAGACTAGGTTGGCAAAACAAAGCTAAACAAAACAGAAAAACAATGAAAAGATAATCTCCTGCTTTGGGGCTGTGTGTTACCAGGCAGAAGAGCCGAGGTTCATTTCTAATGGAAAAAAATGCCATCAAAGTAAGGGCATCATATGACTCTTGCCTAAAGCACGTTGCCTTTTCAAATCTGCATAGTTATTCCCTTTACATCTATGCAATTCAACATTAGCAATGTTTATATATCTGTAGAACTCAATAAAAGCAATGTGCTCCACAAAGAAATGTTAAACTTTCTGCAGATCAAAGACCTAGCCAAATTTCCCTAAAACTAAAATTATTATTTCTAAAAAAGTCCTACTCTGTATCTTCATCCATCAACATACCATGATAGAAAACTCTAAGCCTGCTAAAAGACAGTAGCTACAAAACAATTTCTTGAATGACCTGAATTTTTAAAAAAATATTAGGCCCTGGTCAGTTTGGCTCAGTGGTTAGAGTGTTGGCCCATGGACTGAAGGGTTCAACTCCAACCAAGAGCACATACCTGGGTTGCAGGCTTGATCCCTGGCCTGGTCGGGGCACATGTAGGAGGAAACGAATCAATGTGTCTCTCTCACATTGATGTTTCTCCCTCTTTCCCTTCCAGTCTCTCTGAAAAGCAATGGAAAAAATATCCTCAGGTGAGGATTAAAAAATAATAAAATATATATATATTAGTTCCAAATATTTAGAACATTTTGGGCCAAATTCCTTTGAAAACTACCCTTAATGAGTTTATTTTTACTAATTCACTAGTTTAGTATGCAATAAAATAATAGACTTTGAATAAGTTAAACTGGCTAATGACAAGTAATCAGTTTTCCTCAGTGATTACTATCCTTCTACACAGGCAGGGTAATTAAATCACTAAGGGTCTTTTTGGCGTACCTTCAACTCTTCTTACACTACATAACCAATTAGGGAAAATTTTACAGTTAAATGAAGAGAACACAAGTAGTTTTACAGCAAGTTGGGTGTGTTAAATATATTTGTTATGAAAAAGAATTTCTGACACAAAAATTGCTTACTGCACACAGAACCCTTGACAAAACAGCTGATGTTAGATGGTACATGGGAGTCAGGTGGAGTGAGAAGTCATGGATAAATTAAAAACTGGCAAGTACTGAAGCAGAGCCACTTTTTAGGGGGCATAAGAAAAAATGATGTCACCTTTTTATATCTCTTTAGAGAAATCCATTTGCTGTTTAAAAATGAAGACCATTTTACTATCATTCATGCTGCAAAATGCAGTAGTCACACTCTTTCCAAAAGGATCCTAAAAACTGTAGCGCAAAACAAAAAAAAATCTAAGAAAATAAATAATTTCAAAAAAACATTTTTCCAAAGAAATGTGTTCAAATCAGTGACTTACAAAAGATGTCAATTTGTTGTAAATGAAAAAAAGAATTCTCTTTATGAAAGATCAAAGACTCATTTCACAAACAATTTATACTGCATCAGTAATTTGATGTTCATAGCAGCACTATTTACAGTAGCCAAGATATGGAAACAGCCCAAATGTCCATCAGTAGATGAGTGGATGAAAAAAAAAGCTGTGGGATATTTACACAGTGGATTACTACTCGGCCAAAAAAAGGAGGAAATCTTGCCTTTTGTGACAGCATGGATGGAGCTGGAGAACATTATGCTAAGTGAAATAAGCCAGTCAGAGAAAGATAAGTACCATATGATTTCATTTAAATGCAGAATTTAATGAACAAAATAAACTAACACAATAGAAACAGACTCATAGATACAGAGTGACAGCTGTCAGAGGGGAGGAGGGTTGGGAGGCTGGGTGAAAAGGTGAAGGGATTAAGGAAAAAAAACCCTCATAGACACAGACAACAGTATGGTGATTATTAGAGGGTGAGTGGAGTGGGAGAGGTAGAAGAGGGTATGGGGGGATAAATGGTGATGGAAGGAGACTTGACTTGGGGTGGTGAACACACAATACAATATACAGATGATGCATTATAAAAGTGTACACCTGAAACTCACATAATTTTATTAACCAATGTCACCCCAATAAATTCAATTAAAAAAAATAAATAAATCTTGAAATTCTCCAAAAAAAATAATAATTTGATTACAGTGTACAAACAAGAGCCACAGACTTTTTAGTTAGGTCTAAAAGATCAATATAAATACTGATAGGGGAGTGTTTTATACTCCAAACCCCAATATTCCAACTCTGTGTCCTATACTGTTATGATCTGTAAAAATCTTAACGACGCAGTGACTCAAGTTTTCGTAACTTCAACGATGTGTTAGAAGACAATGCATCTTGGTTTGAAGAATTTGTTGTATCCGAAGGCCGGAACAGTACTCTACCACGATGATTAAATACATAAAATGATGGGTGATTCCTTAATGTGTCAAATGTCCTTAAAAGAAAAAAAATGCATCAATTTTAGACAAACCCTTATAAAAGCCTATTTGAAAATAAGCAGGCTTCTGATGAATTTGCTATGGGTTATATTTTAAGCTAAGATTAAATCCATGAAATCAGACCATAAATGGTAATCATACTATATCCTATATCTCATTTTTTTCCTGTATAAGGAAAATAAGAAACCTGGAAAAGCAACATATAGCCTTAGAATTTTCTTATACATCCAGTCCTTCCAGTGTGCCTAATAATAACACAGGCAATTGCTCAACTTTAACCACCTCTGTAGATCTAACATAAGCCCATCCCAAATAGTCTTTTTAAAAAATCAGTACAGAGATTGTACCTTTGATTATTCTCATTTGGCCCTCACTATCCAAGCCCTATGATCATTTGAAAGGTCTGTTTTCTGAGAATCTTTCAAGTATAACGAAAAAATTCCTAAAATTTCTTTGGTCCTTCTGTACCTGCTGCTGTCCAAACTCATACATTTTACTACCACCTAATAAACTCAATATTTTGCTACCATTCTGTTTTACTTCTTTCTTTCCTGGCCCTTTGCCTGTGATTCTTAGTAAACTTTGTAAGAACCCAAGTGGATGATGACAGTAGTGTATCATTTCTTCTTCTCCAGTGAGAGATATGTGGTCTAAAAAAGGTTCACAAACACCTAAGTGTATGGCTTTTACTGTTGGTTTGTTTCTAAACATTATTTTCCTGGGCGGGAGGGGATTCTTCTTTTGATAAAAACTCAAATCTCAAAGTCAGCCTACCTAAAAATCCAAACATATCCCCACATAAAATAGGAAGCCTGAGATGTGACTATTTAAAATGTAAAGTAAAAAGAAGGTGAGTTTCCTTTAACACATAAATGTTTATTGTGAATCCTCCTAAAAGGATATTATAAAGGGTTAAATTTTCCAGAATCAAGAAAGTGGGTAAAGCACAGAGATGGAAAAGAACAAAGCTAAAGGATGATTTTATAAAGGTAAGAAATATTGCCCTGGCCAGTGTGGCTCAATTGGCTGGGCATTATCCCACGCACTGAAAGGTTGCTGGTTCAATTTCTGGTCAGGGCACATGCCCAGGTTGTGGGCGGGGTTGTGCAGGAGGCAGCTGATCAACGTTTCCCTCTCACATTGATGTCTCTCTCTCTTTTTCCCCCTTCCTCCCTCTCTCTCTAAAAATCAATTTAAAAATCTTTTTTTTTTTTTTTAAAAAAAAGAAATATTGAAAAGAAAACCAAGCAAAGCACATGAAAATAGCTTAGAAGTAATACAGAAGAAAAAAAGGAAGCAGAATAACAAATATACTTTAATCCAGGGATAGAAAAGGGCCTGAGAACAGAGTTTATGTCACAGACTAGGTTCAAGTGATAGAGGAAACAAGAAATCCCTTATTCTTCCAAAGACTAAGCTGGGACAGAGGACAAAAAGAGGAAAAAGGAAAAAAGGAAAGAAGAAGGTAGGAAGGAGAGGGAAGCAAAGAGAAGGAAGGAGAGGGAGGGAGGGAAGGAAAACGTTTCTGAGAGAATAGCTTCCTATATATCTATTGCTGTCTACTTGTCCACCCAACCATCCAATAAGTAATTTTAAACAATCATAATATATCATCTGATTTTAATGTCAATAACCTGTCATTCAACTTCCATTTTTCCTATCATATCAAACAGTGCCTCAATATTTTTATTTCATTACTCAGATTGTATAACCAAAATGTAAAAGCCGACTTTTAAATACCAGAACACATGCATTTATGTAAATGAAACAAAACACCTAAGAAATTAAATGCCTATGAAAAGTGAAAAACTTACTTATTTTTTAGTTCTGAAGTAGCATCCATCTCTTTAAAATCCCCTGCAATATGAACTATACCATAACAGGTAACTGCAAAGGCCAGAAGTGTCTGAAGAACTATCTGTGAGTATAAAGATTAAAGATTACTAAATAAATATAAATCTTATTATAAAAATTTACAATTTTTTCTCCATCTCTTTTTAGCCTCTAACAGGTATTTCTCCCAGATCCTATCAAAGAGTCAATTCTCAGTTTAAAGGATTTGGACTTAAACACAATAAAATCTATAAATTCTGCAGATTGGCTATAAAAATACTTGTGGGTTTTGCTCAAATAGCAAAAACAGGTACTGAGCCATTCAAAACTCAGTTATCAACTACTATTTGCTTCTAAGAGCAATTAAGAATTTTTTAATGTATTCTTGTTAAATATAGAATATAAAAAGAACACCTCTTACCCACCACCCAGCTTAAGAAACAGAACATTACCAGTACCTTTCAAGTCCCATACATCCCTCTGCAATCATATCCTTCACCCTCTCTCAAAGTTAACTACTGTCCCAAATTGTGTATTAATCTGTTCTTTGCTTTTCTTTATAATTTTACCAGCTATGTGTGTACCTCTAAAACATATATTGCTTACTTTTCCATATTTTGAAAACTTGTGGGTGAAATTCATCCCTGTTGTAGTATATAGTTGTAGTCCATTCCATTACATGAAAACACTATAAATTTATCCATTCCATTTTTGATGGTTATGTGGGCTGTTTCCTGTGTGTTGCTTTTATAATGTCAATGGATATCCTTTGGTGTATATCTCCTGGTGTATGGGAGTAGAATCACTGGTGTAGAGTGTATGCACATTCAACTTGATTAGGTAATACTAAGCTGCTTTCCAAAGAAATTGTGCAAGCAAAAACTTGCATGCTTGATATTAACCAACATGAGATTACAGGCATATTTTATTTTCCTGATTGTGATTTTTCTCTATTTAAAAAATTTTCCAATTCATAAGCAGAAGAAAGTTATTTTAAATAGATATAAATGAATGTGTGTGCATCTACCACAAAGCACAAGTGATGATAGTATGAGTTAATAGCTACATCTACCATATCCTTAATCATAGACAACTAGAGGCAAAATTAGCCACAAGCTATTATTCTTTCTAAATTAAACCTAATGTCATATGTTATACCAGTTTACATTCCCACCACCAGTGTACCATGACCTTTTTCATACAATGCAATCATAGGCACTATTAACAAGAATGTGGTAAATCTATAAGTAGTCATGAAAATATGTTAAGTGATAAAAATCTAATTATAAAACTATACACAAACACACACGCGCATAATAACTTTTTTAAAGAAAGCTTCTGTGTTTTGATTAGCTAAAACTATACAGACATAAAGATAATGTTGTTTATGCATAGGAAGAAAACTGAACTACTGGTACACTACAAATTGTTCAGAATTGAAGTAGAATTGTTGAGCAATAGAGTCAGGTTTTTTCGGAAGGGGTCTGTTTTACTTTTCACACTTAGTGTTTGATTCTGTTACAAAGAACTTACTATTTTGTAATTTAAAAATCCAATAAAGATAAAAATTGTGTGTGAAGCTCACATATTATTTTAGCTTAAAAGAACATTTCTTTGTTTTTCTTTAATTTTACCTCCTATGTATATGTTCCTAAATAATATTTTATTAGTTTTGCTTGTTCTTAAACTTTTTATAAAAAGAAAAATTTCAAAAAATGAAGTCAAAGCCCTGGCCGGGGTGGCTCAGTTGGTTGGAGCCTCGTCCTGTACACCAGAAGGTTGCGGGTTCGATTCCCAGTCAGGACACATACCTGGGTTGCAAGTTTGATCCCCCATCAGGGTGCTTACGGGAGGCAACTGACCAATGTTTCTCTCTCACATCCATCTCTGTCTGTCTGTCTCTCTCCCCTGCCCTCTAAAATCAATATAAACATATCCTCAGGTGAGGATAAAAAAATGAAGTCAATCAATCAACTTTTTAAGTGCATCTCAAACTAGGGAAGAGCAACTTCAAGAAAGACTATTTAAAGTATAGTTCTAGAAACCAAGCAGAGTGACAAAAAATAGAGAACAGATGTAATTTCATGTCTGAAAAATTTTAAGAGAATAAAAAACAGTAAAAATATTATAAAGCATATGGTTAATTTTAAGAATATATGTTAATAGAATATAAATGACCAACTTACATCTATTGGCAGTGAATCATCTTCCTTTTCTGTTAATCGCATATAAGAACGATCTATAAACCAGAAGCATACCATTAAGGAAATTGTAGCTAATTTTTCTTCCTTAAAATATAAGCAAATCAATATACCAAAGAAGCAGCTGACTTAGATGCTACACAAAGTAATGCTAATCCTGGATTCCTCAAAAACCTCTATCTTCTAAGGCAATCAGCCTGAACTTGAAGTATTTTATTCCCATCATGACCTGTGTTTTCACTTTATAAAACGAGGTAAGAGTAAAAGGTAAGCAAGTATGAGAAAGAAACACCTATACATAATTTCTTTCATTACTACAGGAAAACCAGAATCCTCTGAAACGAATCATTTCTTTCACTCACTAACTGGTCAAAGAAATCACAATTATTTTGAAATTAATAAGCCTACAAAAAATATCCACTCTGAAGTAGCACCACCATCACATCGAGTTGGTATGGAAACGTTTTTCCTGAGAGAATAAGCTGTGACAGTGGTGGAATAGGAAAAATTCCAGGACATCAATTTCTGCCTCTGTGATTAAATTATAATTCTGCTTCTGCCTTAGTCTCAGGAAGTAGCAAGGTATGAAGGAAAAGAATCAGGATTTGGAAGCTGATAAGCTTGGATCATAAAACCAGCTCTTCAACTTACTGTAACCGATGTTATCTCATTTAACGCAAGACAGTCTCATGTAACATTTACCTCAATTTCAGAGTGTTAAGATGGAGATGTGGGAGGTCAAAAGTGTCTTAGACTCAAAGGAATACAGTGCCTATCTTTTCACTCACTAAGTTTCTGCAACAGCAAAATGTGAATAATGTGAAGATTAAATGACATATGTGATAGGCTCTCTGCCAGGACAAAGTTCATTATAGCAAAGATGAGCATGCCATGGCACCACAGGATGCTGCCTGCTGCCACCATCTGACATGACACAATTAGCTTCAAAGGTAAATATTAGTCTCTTTCCAACATGAACATTATAAAGAGGTCCCACAACAGTAACAAATGCCACAAGGCATTTCATCTCACTGGAAACATAAAAACACAAAATCCTAATTCTAGATGAACTTTGCACAATCCCTATTTAATAATGTATTGTGAACTAAAAAAGCTAAATTGTTCAGTGTAAATGTATATTGACTCTTAAAAGAGAATTTGTTTAGAGACATTTCCAAAGTTTTTTTTCTTACAGGGTTTATCATAAGGACAAATGTAAAAGAAAAATCAAACCAATACCAAAAATAGGTTTTGCCTAACTTCCTATTGTCTGTTCGGATCCCAGCTAGCTTTCTTCTTTGCCCGAAGTCCAATCTGACTCTAATACCTTTAACCAGGCATTTCCTCATTTGTAAAACTAAGGGGTTGAACTTCAATGACCTTGCTCTAGGACCTTAACATTTTACAGCTGAAGGCTATGGTAGAAATTGCTGCAGTACTCCACCGAATCCTACCCTCCCCTAAGGCACTGCATACAAATCACCTGGGGATCTGACTGAAATGCAGATTTGGTTTCAGGAGACCTGGAGTCGGCTTTTCTAACAAGCTCCCACGTGATTACAATCATGCTGGTCTGCCCCACCACGTATCTTTACATATTTTTAGCATGGCACTTATATAATTTTATTGTGATTATTTCTTGATCTATTTGTTTCTCCACTTGCCACTGAACTCCCTCAGGGCATCATTCACTGTACCTCTAGCACCTAAGCACGGTGCAATTTCAACCAGTTCCCTGAGACTGAATTTCATAAAGCCGTGTAGCACATAGGCTCTAGAGTCAAACTCCTCATCTTTAAATCCTTGGCCCTTCTCATCTCTGTACTTTTGTGCAAGTTTCCTAGCTGTGTGTCTCAATCTCTTCATCTCTCAAAGTCGGTAGTAACAATAATAGCTACCTCACAGGTCTTTTGGGTAGGACTGAATTATATAATACAAGTAAAGTGCTTAGTTCAGTTCCTGGCACTTAGTAAGCACTTAGTAATGTTAGCTATTATTATTACTGTCATTAAAGCTTGGAGCACAGAACAGGAGACTGGGGAAACATGACAAATAAAAGTAACGTGATACCTTGGATTGATTCCTAGAACAGAAAGAAGACACTAATTGAAAAACTGGTGAAATCCAAATAAAAGCTAGACTTCAGTTAATAGTAATATGCCAATGTCAGTTTCTTATTAGTTGTGACAATAAACCGCGGTAATGTAAGATGTTACCAATGGTGGAAGCTGGGTGAAGGGGTGGGTATATATAGTCACTCTCTGTAGTATCTTTGCAACTTTTCTATAAACCTAAAACTTCTAAATAAAAATTTATTTAAAAAAAATAAGTTGCATTTCCTTCAGACAATGTCACAATACATGTATGTAATCAGTAGTTAAAATAATTTGATTACTTAAATTATATATAATAAACAGAACAAAAGGTTTTAACATTAAAAAAATGGAGCTTTGAAGGAATTCACATTTCATTTTCTATTTTATTCCTATATAAGGAGAGCAATCCAGCAAATAAAGGAATAAAGTTCAAGTTTGAATTCATTTCCTGTGAGGAAAATTATGCTAGGCACTGAGATTACAGCAATGAACATAAAATACACATTGTCCCTGCCCTTGTGGGCTCTATAGGCTAGGACAGGGGTCAGCCAACTTTACCTGTAAAGGGCCAAATAATAAATATTTTAGGCTTTGCAGGCCATTCTGTTTCTATTACAAGCTCAACTCTGCCCTTAGAAAGCAGCCAGACAATACCTAAATGAATGGGCGTGGCTGTGTGCCAATAAAATTTCGCTGATGGACATTGGAACTTTGATTTTATATAACTGTCATGGATCATAAAATGATATTCTTTTGCTTTCTCCCCCAACAAATTAAAAATGTAAAAACATTCTTAGCTCACTACGAAAACAGGAGGGAGGCTGCATTTGACCCACATGCCAGAGTTTGCTGACCCTTGGTGTAGAAGAGAAGGCGTCAAAACAGATCAGCTGTCTTAAGATTGTACTGCATCCTCTGCCGGAATCCAAGTTTCTTCTTGATGATACAGTTTTATCTGTACGATCAAGTACTTCCACTTTTTTTCTCATTTAAACTTTCTAAGTCACTCTCTGTGACATGACTTACCCAAGGTCACAGATTTAGCGGCAAAGCAAGATTTTAAGAACCTGCCCTCCAGACTGCGGGTCCATTACTCTTTCCCTGTACCACAGTCCCTCCCTGAGGCAAATGGTCACTTAACTTCTCAGTCACTGCCTAGACAACCCTGGACAGCCCAGGAGTGCCCAAGATACTGTCCACCTAGTTGTCACAGGACCACGAGCATCCGAGGTGCTCAATCTGACACTTTGCCTGCTCAGCCTCGCGCTGGCTCTGACATCACTTGTCCTGGATTCCCAGATAGACTCCCTCTCTGCTCACCTTGCAGTGCGTCCATCACGCTCTGAGCCCTCTCCCAGACACCCCCTTCTAACGCTGTTTCAGTCTTCCTCCGGGGAGCCCCGCGCCATTGAAAACAGGAGGGAGGCTGCATTTACCCCAAACTCTAAGGTCCCTAGTGACCCTTCCTGGAACCCTCGGTCTGACACTCCCTCTGTGGTGCGCCCACACGCCGCCCCCGAGGTCCCGCGCCCGAGCGGTCCGCGTCCCCCAGGCACTTACGCTGAGCAGCGGAGAAGGCCGCGTGTGCCAGGGCAAAGAGACCGATGCCCACCAGCCCCTTCCACAGTGACAGCGCCATTATTCCGGAGGAGCGACAGCCGGAGGAAAGCGGCGAAGGGCAGCGAAGCAGTTCCCCCTTCCAAAGGCGGTCGTCCACGCAGCGCAGAAAGATGACGTCACTGGACCACTGGGCGCGAAACGCCTCACGGAGGTGGGAAAACCAAAGAGCCTTCGGAAAGCGGAAACGGGAATGCCGGGAACGAGTGGAAAGCACGCGGGGAAAGGTCTGCGAGTGCCTGGGAGACTGCCGGCACTGCCTCTGGGAGAGGGGTGGGGCTGATGGGAGGAGGGGGCGTAAAAGAAGAGGCAACAGCGGACCAATGGGGAAGCGAGAGGGAGGACGCCAGCAAATGAGCGCTAGCAGGGGGCGGGGCCTGTGGAGAGGAGGCTGCCCAGCCTGAGGAGAGGAGAGGCGAGGGTGGGGCTGAGGAGCGGGGGCCTGGAAGCTGCAGTTAAAGGCGTTTGGTGCTGGGTTTCTGTCGCCCGCAGGGGATTTTCGGTTGATTGGTTGGTTTGTTGTTTTTCCCTCAGGCTATGTCCTTTGTTTTGTGTTGGCTTTTCCTAATCTTCAGCCCTTTGCGGACTGACACTACGGGAGGAGGCAAGAGTGTGTAAGCGAGGAGGGTTGCAAAGGAAATCGCCCTGGGTATTTGGAGCCCAAAACACGTGGCTCACTCAGGGGGGTGCTCACCAATGTTAGCGCCCTTCTCCTTACCATCTAAATGCCTTCTTTAAGAAGGACTCACGCCAGAAGCGGTGTAGCACAGCAGGAGAGTTTTGTCATGGAGAGAATGAGTTTACTTTAGGGAGAAATGAAAGGGGAGGAATCTAAGGCTGCTAACAAGGCAGGCCCATCTTGTCTCGGTCTCTCTCTAATCAGAATAAAATGCATACTCCTTTCACGGTTTTTCTTTGTCTTTGTTCCCTAAAATGTAAATATTCAATACTGACGTTCTCCCCTTGAACTCTTTTCACTCTGCTCTTCTTTGGCGAGCTCACCTATTCATTCCCACCGCTTCAGCCATCGGAGATACTACAGTGATTCCAAATTGACGTCTCTATCTCAAATGTATCTCCCCAGCTCCAGACCTGCATTTCCTACTACCTGTTGGTCATTTATTTCTATCCTCTGGCATTTTGAACTTAATATGGCCAAAGCCGAATTCATTGTTTTTCCCCAAACTCTGCACCAACTCCTCCAGTACCCACCATTAGCACAGGGTTGTAAACTGCATATCACAAGGTAAATGCACACCATGGTCAACATACTTTCTCCTCAGCCCAGTCAGAATTCTACCTTTTAGCTGCATCACTTTAGCCTGAAGATGCCTATCCTGATCACCTCTTTTAAATTTGCAGTCTTCTGATTGCCCATTCCCTTAACCTGCTCTATTTTTATCACTTAACATACTCTATGATTTATCTATTTTTAGTTTTAGTTTTTTAAATATGTTTTTATTGATTTCAGAGAGAGGAAAAGAGAGATAAAAACATCAATGATGAGAATCATTGATCGGCTGCCTCCTGCCCCCCCCCCCC